TTCTCTCCATAAACTAACCAATAATGGTAAGTTATAGCAAATAGCAAATTATAGCAAATTATGTGTTAACACTGTCCTGTCTTGTATCCCGTGTCCCCCTGGTAATGTAGCCCCCAATGTAGGGGTTGGCTTATCGGTCTTCTCACAATGTAAGAACTACCAGAATGTGCCACACGTGTTGATAAAGCTACAAAAGACAGATGGCAGGGATTTCTGAATCTGGTGCAGACCACTTTAAAGGACCATAGTGCCAGGAAAGTGTGGTTAGGGATTTATTAAATTCCAAAGAAAAAACTGATCACCTGCCCAGGTCTATAACTGGCTTTTTAAACAGTGAACATGGGGGGCTGTCACTACGTGAGAAAATTTCCAAAAAAAGTAGAACTATCCAGTTCAACTTGCTAGCCTACCCCAATCTAATATCGGCTTTTATTGGCAAGGAACAAGGATATGTATATCTTATCAACAAAGGGGGATAAGAAAAGCCAGTTCAAACTGTCAGCCAGTTAGCCAACTATCAAAAACCAAATTAACCTGTCTGGAAACATGCGTTTAAAAACAGGGGTTTAGTTAGCACACATTTGCAAATACATACGTAAGCCACAGAGCCGCGTCACGGCACCCTGAGTATCTGTGGTCCTAACTCTACAAGTCTAAAGAGTCCTCACAGTGGAGGCACATTTATTAAATTCCCCAAATGTATTTTTCCCTGTCCATGCATCATAATGAATCTTGTGTGAATGAGCCCTTATACCTAGAGTAAACCTGCTCTCCAAGTAAAGCCCCTGCACAATGCACCTGCTTCCCACACCTAACAGGGATCAGTGCTGTAGGAGACAGTTTTATCTTTTTTTTTTCCAACCAGTTTTCCAACATTAAAAATGTATAAAACAGATGAAAAGCTCATATGTGTGAGTATTCAGTACATGTCCTCCAGCGATTTTAGGCTTATGAAATCTGTCTTGTTTTTGTGAACTTACTGAGAATAAAAAGGCAGAAGCTGAAGTTTAGTAATATATCTTTTTCCCACTGTAATACCTTCCAAGGTAAACCCGTTATTTTTTATTCCTGTTAACGACATGTACAAGCATTTGTAATACAGGTGCATGAGGAAACAATAAAGACGCTGACACTTAGAAAGATGCTTTACATTTCTTCATTTTAACACCACAACCCTTTCTGCGATAACATTTTTTTTTAGTGATTGCAAGGCAGGTGTTTATGAAAAATGACAATATTTTACACTGTTATATGGAAATTAAACCTTCTGTTTTCATTATGCTTCTTCTTGTGCTACTACTTATATTTTACCTTGTTTTGGACAGAGATGGGAGGGCATACAGCTGTGAGGTTGTTGGTGCAGTCTTTGTGCCCATTGGGGAGATTTTCTGTTATTTCCTGTCTCTGTTTCTACAATGAGGACACAGACTGCAACAAAACGTTTTTTTTTTCAGTGAAGTGAAGAAGGGTTAGAACCTCTTTTTTGTGTTATTACTGTCTGTGGCTTTTTTTTCCCAGTAACAAATGTTATCCTTTTTTGTCCTGCTGTCAGAGATTGTCAAAGGAACAGGATGTGAGGTCATGGAGGGGGGGAGCCGTCCCTGCTGGGGCAACACAATGGTTATTGCTAGCGACTATAGCAACTGATAATATGAAAAATTTGACAGGTTGGTTGTACCCAAGTCGTACAACAATTGACCTGGATACAATCAGCCTGTCCATAGATGGTAAACCTTTCTATATCCTAACCTAAATCTATTGCCAGCTTTACAGTACTTTAGCAATATCAAAAAGGTATAGATATAATAATGAATATAAGAATATACTATTTGACACCCATTGTGGTTGATTTTTTTAACACTAAAAAAAAAAATTAATAAAAAAGTTTTCAGTAATAAACACAAACTTTTAATTAAAAACAATAATATTGGCCAGAAAAGAAACACAGAAAAAAAAATCAGTGATGGGTCCCCTTACATTTTTGGAAGAATGTTTCACATACAGACAGTTAAAAAGAATATTTGTGGCATGCCACTGTCTTTTCCAAATGATTTTGCCCCTGAAACTATGCAGGTACTATCAGATTGGAGGTCAGTCTTCTACTGCTCCAGGAACTGCTGGCAGCCTCTGGAGGAACCCAAGGTTAAGAAATGCTGCTCTAAAGTATTCCCCTTTACTCTATCCCTGGATGCTTCATAAAAGGTTATGTACAGAGGGGAGAGGAGGGATGGAGGAGCTGGGCCAGCACAGAGAGTATTTAGACCCTGCCAGAAGAGAAGAGGGCTATGATGTGCAAAGAGAAAGAGGTCTTATAAAGTCCAAATATAAGCTGCAGTCCTCACAGTATTTGACCTGGTATCAATAGGTGCTTGAAGTGAATGCCACGGATGGTGCCATGCCAGAAACCGATGCAAAGATGCCAAGTCACCAGCACCCCAAATAAATGTGTTTCACGGGTTTATTTTAAAGACAGCATCAAAAAGGCATAAGAAACCAACATTCAGGGTCCTTGAAGGGTTTCTTATGCCTTTTGTGACATGTTATTTAGAGTGCTAGTGACTTCACACCTTTGTGCTAGGGAACTGACTCTTCTTGTAGTAGTCATATTTTTTAGCAAGATCAAATGAACATTGCAACTGAATAAATAAATCATTTATGGACAGGAAAGCAATGCAGATACGCATTTCAAAGACTTGATTTAAAGATTTAAAGGTAGGGGCTGGCGTCCAACTTTTAAATGAACATAACTTTGCCCAAAAACAGGCCATGACTTATGCCCAAACTGAGATTAAACACCACTTCTACTTATGCCAAAGCCTGTAGCAAGAGGGGCAGAGCTAATCTTGACTGGGCAGAAATCAGGGCCTCATGTAAAGCATGGGCCCAGGATCCAAGGGGACTCCACAGAAACACAGGGATCAATTGTAGGTGCTACAAGAAAGGACCTACATTGTTAATATACTGTATTAGGAATATTTTAGACTAAGTCGGGATTACTTTAAGTACACACATACTCCCTGATGTGTGTTTACCTCTTGGAAATATCACAATGCTCTCCCAACAATGCCTTCATCTTCCATCTTCTCCATAACCCTACCACCATCTTTGTTCAAGCATTATCCATGGTCAAATCTACTTTCTGGACTAAGATGTTGAGATTGTGCAGTCATAGAAATTTCAATGCCTGTACACTATACTAGATGTTCTTGGCTGTGGGTAGATATGTTGTCTCACACTAAAAAGCCCCCTACTTGCACCTCAGATAGCTGTAAATTTTTTCAGCAGAAACTAAAAAGATGGTGCCTTTGTATGTACCATGGTGCATGTGCAAATGTTTGTCTACATTTAGTAGATAGTTGGCTTGGCACTGACAAGAACAAAGCTTGAAGGGGCCAGTGAATGAGAAAATTATGCACCAGTTTCCCCACTATCCATTCTGAATAAAAACCCACACATTTAGCAGGAGGAACATGTTATGTGCAAGTGGGGACACATCACAGCAGAAGGAGTGTCTATTTTTTTAGGTTTGTAGTAGTGATGGGGTAAGGTTACAGGCTCCTGAATTACTTCTAGAACATAAATTGGCCATTAAAAAAAAAAATCAGCATAAGCTCATGGCTGGTGGTAAATTTGTAATATAACTTTATATAATCTTGCTACCATATTATTTGTTTAGATGTTGATTTTTATAAGTTGGGTATCACTTTTGAAAGTACTGTACAGTTTATATCATATTTATATATGTCCTTTTCTTCTTATGTTTTCAGATGGGCAGCGAAAGAAGAATCAAGGCAGAACGGTGGCGCATCACAGAGGGTAGTGGAGGAGAAGGGGGATCAGAGGGAGAGGAGGATCAAAGTGGTGACTGCGATGATGAAGATGGTTGTCAAGGATCTGGTGAGAGTATAGAAACAGGTAGGCATGCATGAGATTTACAATGGCCTAACAAAAATCTACATACTTTGTAGCTGTGAGTGGGGTAGATGGTCCGAATTTTGAGCTTCCTGAAACCAAAGTTATAAAGCCAAATGTAGAGAAAAAGAAATACATTAAGTACCATAATTTAAAAGTCAGTCTAGTTACTTGTTCACATTGTAGCAGTTTGGTTATTGACTCATATGCACAACCATATGAATGTACAGTGCTCAGCATAAATGAGTACAGTCCTTTTGAAAAGTCAGATATTAATCAATAGCTCAATGAACACAAGAACAATTTCCAAAATTGAGTTTTATAGAACATTGTTTAGTTTATTACACGAAAGTAAGGTTAATAATATAACTTAGATTAAAAAATCTTCAGTTTTACTCAAATTAGTTGATGCAAAAATGAATACACCCCACAACAAAAACTACATCTAGTATTTTGTATGACCTCCATGATTTGTAAGGACAGCACCAAATCTTCTAGGCATGGAATGAACAAGTTGGCGACATATTGCAACATCTATATTTTCCATCCTTCAAGAATGACCACTTTTAGAGCCTGGAGGCTGGATGGAGAGTGATGCTCAACTTGTCTCTTCAGAATTCCTCATAGATGTGTGATTGGGTTCAGATCAGGAGACATACTTGACTACTGAATCACTTTCACCCTGTTCTTCTTCATAAATGCAGCAGTGTTTTGCCATGTTGGAAAAGTGCACGATGACCAAGGGCATGGAGTGATGGTAGCATCTTCTCTTTCAATATAGAGCAGTACATCTGTGAATTAACGATACCATCAATTAAATGCAGCTCCCTAACACCTGCAGCATTCATGCAGCACCACAGAAGGACACTGCCACCACCATGTTTCACTGTAGGCACAATGCATGTTTCTTTGTACTCCTCACCTTTGCAACGCCATACAGTTTTGAAGCCATCAGTTCCAAAAATATTTATCTTGGTCTCATCACTCCAGAGTAGAGTCCCAGTAGTCTTCTTTTTCAGCATGGCTGGAAAAATTCTGGATAAATTCTAGGTGGCTTTTTTGCGCATGGGCTTTAGGAGAGGCTTACTTCATGGACGACAGCCATGCATGTCATTCCTCTGCAGTGTACGTTGTATTGTGTCACAGGAAACAATCACCCCAGTTTAGCTTTCTACTTCTTTAGCTAAGTGCAGTGAACTTGCATGGCGATTTTCTTCAACCCTGCTCTTCAGAAGACGCTCCTGTCAAGGTATTAACTTCTGAGGATGGCCTAGACGTCTCTGTGAGATGGTTGCAGTTCCATCTTTGTTAAATGTTTGTATCACTCTTGCTACAGTATTCTGACTGATAAATAAAGCTTTGCTGATCTTCTTGTGTAAAGACATCTACTGTGTCTGACAGTAACTCTTCTCACTGACCTACCTGAGATGCTGGACAGCACTCTGCCTGATCCATTGGACAATCCTGCCTTGTGCCTTGTTTTCTGTTGAACCTTGAATCCTTTCCTCCTCCCATGAACTTCCTGATTTAAGCCATGTCTCTGCACTTCCTGTTTGCCAGACTATTGTGCCTTCTTCAGCCATTATCTCACTCTTGTCTCTTCTGCTGCCATCCATACCTTCGATACCAACCTTTGTGTCAGGAATCTAGGAGTGACCAGAAAGGTGTGGACTGACACAGGGAAACGCAGGTTTCAGGTATAGTATAATAATACAGTTTATTATTAGCCACCCAGATATATATATATAAACGCACAGTGAACAAACCAACCTTCCACTAATCTTAGTAGGTGCAGGAACACAGGCGTAGTCAGGGCTGGAGAGGTGGAATGGTCAGGCCGGCCGTAGGGTTCTGTAATGACCATTTGCTGGTACCTCTAGTGGTCCCCAGGACAGGATTCCCCAGGGCGCGGAGTCTAAGTCCCAGTCTGCTTATTCACCAGGGCCCCTGATGGTGGGGATGGACTTGGAGCAGACAGGAACCAGGTCGCGGCCCCTGAGTACACCTGCTAGTGGTAGAGGGATCCGCCAGAGGTATGTGCAGGTACGGCTGGATCCGTGCAGGATGGATGGATGGCAGAGTAGTTAGCGTGGTCAGACGGGCCAAGTCAGCAACGTGCAGGCAGCAAGGTACCAAAGGAGCTGGCAGAGAATGGTCAAGGTCACAAGCCGGGTTCAGTAACTCACGGGCAGCGCGGTACAGGGGATCAGGCAGAAGGATGGTCAGGCAAGCCAGGGGTTCAACAGGAGACGGTCAGCAGAGGTCAGGATCAAGCCGGGTCAGCAACGAAGCAGGAACACAGGATACCAGGTACAGAGGCTCATGGGAAAACATACACCAAGGCCCAGATCACAGGCCTGCTCATGCCTTAAATACACCTTTCTGCAATCAGCCCCAGGTTTGGCTGATTGCACGTGTGAGCTTCTGGCTGCTGAGAGCACCCGCTGGTCAGCTCTGGTACTGCAGACCACACGGCAGATGAGTCCCACCACCAGTGCTGAGTCCATTCCTGACACTTTGGCTTGTTCCTTTACTACGATTCTGCTTCATCCCAACCTGCAACCACTTGTTACTGACCCTTGTCTTGTTTACTGACTACGCTTCTGCTTGATCCCTACCTGCCATATCTGTTACTGGATTATGGCTTGCTCACCTGGTGTGGCGATCCTGAGAACTGCGTCCTGGGACTAACATGCAGCAAAACCCATCTCCACCATCAGGTGCTCTGGTGAATACTGGTTAGTGCTTAGACCCTACAGCTTAGGTGAGCCTGCGTCATCTGCTAGGGTGACCTGCTTGTTTACCTATCCTGTTGGTTGGTGTGTTACTATAGCTACTGGTCTCTTAGCCTGACCATGACAGAAATTATTTTCTTTCTCAGGCCTTGTGACATTTCTGTTCCATGTAGTGCCAATGCTGACAGCATGAAATGGGAAGGGGTTTTCTTTGTTAAGTAATGCCCTTTTATTATCAACTGTCTGCTGGACACCTGTTTAATGAATAATTAGATTCACCTGTTGTATTCTTGTTAATTAGGATTTTGTTGTCTAAAATTTAGCTTTGCTCCTAAGACTTTCATTGGGGTGTATTCATTTTTGCAACATAGTTTTGAATGAATTTGTTAGGAAAAATACCTTTTTGTGTGTGTAAAGTAACAAATCTTGTTTGCGAATAATGGCCTGCATTTGTGGGAGTATTTTGTAGTATAGTGTTCCATAGAAAATGTTGACTCTGAAAGGAAAGTTAAGGTTTTCTGACAAATCTCTTGGGGTGTAGTCATTTTGTGCTGAGCACTGTACATAGATGGGTGCAGAGGTGGATCCTGTAGAGTATATGCTGTGTGATAAATGCCAGACAACCTGTCTTTAGGTGCAGAAGTATTCTCATCATAAAGTAGCAGATATAGTCTCATTTCAGCATATCAGAAGTATTTACCAGACTGCTTAAAGGTAAATTTTCCATTTATGGAGAATTTATATGTATTGATACATGATGTCACCACCCCACATCTCCACCTCATCTAATAAGAGATCAACTTGCATTCATTTAGAAAATGCAAAGCATTCTCTGAATGGCACCCATGCCCAGTGGCCAATCTCCTCTGTTCACAAACCAGCAGGCCAGCCACTTGCCGCTGGACCCAAAAGCAAGTGGAGATCACTGGAATAGTAGTGTATACTTCAGTGATTTTCAACTTCCAGTGGCATCAGCCAGGTATAGTATGTTAGATTAAAAATAGGATTCAGGTATAGTATATACATAGTTATATTGATCCAAGCTGGATCAATGTAACTATGTATAAAATATCCATACTTGAAATTCTTCTTTAAAGCTGAAATGTAGCTAAAAGAAAAAGCCTACAACTTTAGCACACTACTAACCTGTAATGAAGTACATCCCACATTATGCATGGGACATCCACCATTCACAGCCACCAGCACCAGCTGTCAGAATACAATAGCAGACACTGCAGATTCATCCACCCACATTGTATAGCATGGATGGAGGAATCTGTCAGATTCCATCAAATCCATCAGTATATGGCCACCAGTAGCTTTTGAACACTTGAATTTTTATAGCCAATGAAAACAGAATTTAATGAATACTCTTTATATAAGCAATGGACACCCTCTAGCCTGTAATGTAATAACTCAAAGGACAGTGGCGTGACTTAATCCTTAACAACCAGACTTATGAATCTGTCCACTCCAAGCTGCGGAAAACAAATTTCTCGTTGGATAATGTGGGTCACTGCACATCCTGTACAATTTTATGAAGCCAGCCCATCTGTAACCAGGCTTCAACTTTATTTTTTTGCCTCAGTGCTCAAGGAAATGATTTACATCATTTGCTGCAGTTATAATGCTCTCCGAATCTGCACCAAGGCTTTTACCATAAAGAAGGAAATGTGTGGAGTGAGCTGGCTGGTTTGCTGAGCCTGGGCGTCCAGTCCACAAACACAGTGAAGGATATGTGTACACTGGGAGGGATTAGTGAATGATTTCTTTGTATGCCCCAAGTTGTGCTCTTGTTCATTCATTTATATGATCCATAGACAAGGCCCCCTTGTTTCTTTGCCATTGTTCTTTTATGTAACTATGGAGCCCCTTATTTTGGCCAAGGACCCTTGCTTTCTTCATAAAGAATTAGCCGCAATCTATTTGACATGGCTGTCAGGTCACGCTCTCCAGCCCACAAGTTGGCTTTGTTAGGACTTTTCACATTTTCTCATTTATGTCTTTAATTTAAAACACAAAGCGCGTCAAAACTAGTTCTGAGTCACATCTCATCCTGTATTGATAGAATGAATTATCCTGTTTGATCTAGAAGCTGTGTATGTGGTGAAATTTAAAGGGCATATTGAATTGACAAAGTGAACTGCAATATAGAGGCAAATCATTCAGGCTCAATAAACACTGGTGAGCATATCTGCTTGCGTTAGAGAGCTCTGTGTTCACCATATACTGGTGTGCACAATGACTATATCTAAATATATCACAAACCCCAGCACACAGGAAAACCTTACAATGGATGATAAAGGTAAAAGTATGCTGCGGCGCACCGGTGCAATACACCAATTGATCAAAAATATATATATACAGCGCAAATCAAACACCTCCTCACCATATAAATAACATCAATAAACAAAAGTATTATATAAATCAAAAAAAATAAATTAAATATTGTAATAGTGTCCAAGAAAATATATAAATTACGCCCTGCATCACTTCCGGTGAGTGGAATGCATAATAAATCAATGCTTTTAATTATCTTTGAACATGTGAGTGGCCTGGTATTATTTAATACTGCATATGGTATTAGCAATATCAAACTATGGTATTTTTCTTTTATGCACCGCTGTGGAGCTCTTATTAGGAGTAAGTGGAAGGATTACATCAAGCCATACAAGGTGAAAGGAGCTCTGGAAGATATAGAGGGGGTGTAGGATCCCTAAAATCCTAAAAGGCGCAACACTCACTATTATCTGGTGAGTGCGGTTGATGTTGATTTTACACTGGTGAATGGGCGAAGCACATTTCTTTGGGAGAAGATTATTTTGAATTTATTTTCTGGGAAGAGAGAACTTTTTTATATTTTTTCTGCACGTAATTTTTATATTTTCTTGGACACTAGTACAATGACTATATCAGCAGTGCACGTTGACAGTGTATAGTTCCTAAGCGCATCTCAGACATAACATGTAAAATGTTGGTTGCGTTCTGTGAACCGCAAAGTCAGCAGGTTGCACTGACTACTGCCAACAGTTGATATCAATAATTAAATTGCTGCAGTAAAGCTAGCTGTTGGCTTTCACACTGTCTCAGTAACTAAGAACCAAGAGGTAAGGTTCTATGGTGTCAATTACTCTGAATCAAAATAGGTTACAGGAAACACTAAATGAATAGTGAGAGAATGATAGAACTTAAAGTTTATGCATAAGAATCCCCCCTGACCCCACCCCTCCCCTTTTACTGCTCTTCTCTACCCTCGTCTCTTGGGCTTTACTGAGGTAGCGTGAATCATTGGCTCCACCCGCTGTCAATCAAAGCCAGTGTTAAGGGAGCAGGGGGCAGGGTTGAGTCCCGCTGTCTGTGTCAGTAGACACAGACAGCGAGGCTTGGGAGGGAACCTGCAGCTCCCTATGGGGCACTCGGCAGAAGGGAGAACGTAGGGGCGCCAGCAGGGTATCCAGGAAGAAGAGTTTCAGGCCACCCTGTGCAATTCCATTGCACAGAGCAGGTAAGTATAAACCTGTTTGTTATTACAAAAAAATTAAGCATTTACAAACACTTTAAAGTGTTACTAAACCCACAACAGTAAAATCAGTCTGTATATGCAGTAAAGCATGCTGGTAATACTCACTGTGGAACCTAAGGGGTTAATCCTCTACATTATGTAAAAAGGATATTTGATCCTCCCCTTCCTCCACATTTCTCATTTCTTCTTCTGATAGAACACAGCCTCGGGGACACTCTGCACATGCTGAATTTGGTGTGTACTGCTAGAGAGTTGTTTCTTTTTCTTGAGAGGATGCATGTGATCAGCACAGGGCCAATCACAACTGTCCAGACAGAGGGTCAGAGGTTATGCAATCTCACGGGGCAGTGAGAGGAGAATGAAAACTCCTCCTACAAGCTTTAACTAGTGATCAGCTGAACACTGATAGAAGTCACAAGATTGCTCTAACTGCTAATGAGAAAAGGTATTTCTGTGTTCTGTGGGAGACTGGATATAGTACATCCAGGATCCTAAGACAAACAAATGAAACCAGCGCTCAAATCCTCATGCAGACCAAAGAGAATTCTGATTGCCAAACAAGGAGCTGCTGCCCTTCAAAGATCAGGGAATCTGGACACTGGTGAACAAAAGCAGACAAGGGGGTACGTCTCCCAAAACGCGTCAGATCATCCCTATCGAGGACACAGCATTATTGACTGTCTTTGCGGACTACCAAATTGCTTTTAATTACCTTTGGTTTGTGAGTATATATTTATTTGTCTACACAATAAATACATGGTCAACTATGGTAATGCACGATGAGAGTGCGCCCTGGTTTGCTTTTGTTCATGCAGGATCCTAGGTTTAGTGATACTTTAAAGCTCATTCATACATGCGGCAGCCCTTGCCGCCCCAATCAGTGTGTGGTTTTTGTTTGTTTTTTGTCGCTATCATTTTCCATAACCCTGTACATTGTGTTCGCTAAGAAATATTTCTAAACGTTTTATCTAAACCCCTCCCCCCACTGACACCACCAATTGTGAAACTGAGTTCCACATTCTCACTGATCTAACAGTAAAGAACCCCTTATGCAGTTTAAGACTGAACCTCCTCTTGTCCAACTACATTGGATGCCCACGTGTCTTCTTCAGAAACCTTGGGTTAAATAGTTTCCTCTCAATGCTAGAGTCACCATTTAGAAATATATATATCACTATTTAGTCCCAAAGCCTACAGCTGCCAAATTTGTAAGCGGTAATACAACGTAATACCACTGCTAAATGATTTCCTTGCTGCTGCCACTAGAGGTACAGCTTGACCAACACCAATTTAGTTTTTCTGTTTGCTGATTTGCTAAACAAGCAAAATTTGGTCCACACTGACAGCTCATCCCTACTCTTAAAACACTTTTGACTATGTAGGGTGTGTAACTGAAAAATCCCTAAGGTCACTGGCTGTGTTTTTTTTTTCTTTATAATAAAATGAAGAGGTATTTATTCCTTCCTCTGTATTACCTATTTTGCTAGGGCCACTGCATTCATCTAACGAACCTGTCTGAGCACTGCTTTAGTAAGTAGAAGAATTGAGGGCCATGTGGGTGAAAGTGTTAATCTAGTATGTTTTCAACTCTCTTTTAAACAATATCCTGCTTTTGTGTTGGACTGGAGTTCATCT